GGGCAATACTTTTCACTTTGTTCGTACTTAACGCTTACTTTCATCGCAGAGACAGCTCTCCTCTTCAGCGACAGCAGCAGCGGCAGTGGCAGCACCTTAATAAAGGAGCGCCCTCGCTCTTGCCCGGCAATAAAAAAATAATTTAACAGTTTTCGGCTCGGGGGCATCAACCCAAACCCAGAGCAACCCAAACCCAACAGGCAATCTGCTACTGGTGGAGACAGAGATGACCAACCCCAGTCGGAGTATATGAGGGACACTGCCACAGCCCGGGGCATTCGAGTCTAGTCTAGGCACAACGCAATGGCCTGGCAAAACAGTTTTTTTTGGACATTTCCAACCGAAAATAGCAAATGAATAGGCCAGCGAGAAAGATGTTCCTTACCAGATGCGATACGATGCGATATCATCGGACTGGGCTGTGTGTGAAAGTTTCAAGGTTGCTGCCTGGTCTGCCCTGTGCAAACCACTTCGGGGGTGGTGGCATAAAATGCTGCTGCTCTCTCATGCCCCCTCTCTATCATCGTGTACCTCTTTGTAAATATCTGGTGTGCCTTTTCTTTATCTGCTGCCATCGCTGCGGGTTGTTGCGCCTCCGTAAAAGCTGAAGTTATAACCGCCATTGGGCCGTAGGCCCAAAAGTTTTCATTTTTATATGGGGGAACCCACAGCCATAGCCAGAGCAGAGCCGCAGCAGACCCACAAAAGTCGTTGTGCTTCAAGCAATACTACTGAGTCATTTGCCGATTATATAATGAATTAATTAACGTTGTATTGTATAACAATGGCAAGTCAGTCTGCTTCATGTATTTCTAGATTTTAGTCAAGGAAGATCTTCAAAAACCATTTCAAGATGTGCTTTTCGGTACTCAGGAAAAAAAAAATTATTTAAAAAAAAAAGTTCCTTAATTTTGTTACATCTAAGAAAGCATAAATCAATCTGTTTTTATTTTTGTTTTAATGATCAGTGATTACTATTAAACATAAACGTCTACATTCCAGAATTGGAATTCAGATAGATTTTCCAGTTTTCCCAACCAAAATTCTCCAAAAAGCTAGATCTTGTCAAAGAGTAAAGATTAAAATCGATTTGGACAGGATTATTTCCAAGTCCATCAAAATATATATAAATCCTTCGATTTTGATCAAAATTCATATATAAGAGATGAGAATGAAAATTGAAAAAAAGATGTGGAGGAGGAAAACTGTCGGCAATTGTAGTTCTTGATGTTGTTGTTGTAGTGCTTACTCAACTTTTCGAGCGACCGCAAAATCTGTTATTAGTGTCAAGTGGACTTGTGAGACACTTTGCACTCTCTCTGACCACCATTCCACCTCGCCCCGGCATGACTGTCAATCTCTTTGGTTGGGCTCCTTGGTAGGTCTCCTGGTCCTACCCCCAAATCCTCTTACCCAGAGAATAGTTGGATTAATACGAATTTGCGGCTGTGGTGGCTGCTGGAAAACTTTTGTGTGAGTTTTGTTGCAAAATATATATTAAATTGCGGTAATACTATGGAGTTGAAGGGGTGAAGGGTGGCAGGAGGAGGAGGAGGAGAACATGGTCAAAAGCTTTAAAGTGAGCCGAGGGAGCGTTTTGGGAGACTTGTTAAAAGTATAGTCGATAGTTTCGATTTAAAAGTTCAAACTACTCCTCCTCTTCCTCCGCCTCCTTTAAGTTGTCAACACTTACACCCATAAAAGAGAGTGGAGATAAAAATGGGGGGACCCTTCAGAAGTTTGGCACACTCACAGGGACATATATATATTGGGCGACAAGTGGCGGACACGAGGCGCGAGGTCAATCAAAATCAATTTGGCATCCTGCCTTTTTGCCATGCCCCTCAGTAATCTCGTATTGTAAAATTAACAGTGCGTGCACGTTTCATATGGGTACAGAGAGAGAAATTACTATAATATTGTTTTTATTTTTTTATTAACCTTATAAGATATTAAAAAGTTATCGATAATTATAAGAATAATATACTAGCTATCGGAGATCTTTGGGCTATATTTGAATATCAATGAAACTAGAAGAGATGTTCAGAGAAGTGTAACCTTTTAAAAATTGTAGATATATATTCGATATACATTTTCGATATATATTTTCGATGCATATTTCGATTTATTTTTTTATATACATTTTCGATGAATATTTTTGTAATACATTTTTTTTCATCTGTATAGCTCATCCGGGGAATCCCTTTTTTAAAAGTCTACGTTCAAGAGTAAAGTGCAATTGCGGGCTTTTGCATTTTCATTTCTCCATTTCTCCATTTCTCGTTTTCTCAATTTGATCAATATTTTTCAGTTCGCACTTGAGAAGAGAACTGGCTGGAAATCCTTCGTATCCCTTTCAAGGCTGTTCAATCAATCAATAATCCGCGCAATGTCTGAGCAGCAGCGACATTAACAACAACAACGTCAACAGTACACTTGATTTCAAGCTCAAAAGGGGTTTTTTCTTCTACCCATTCGAAATAAGCTGCATTCATAGGCATAAAGAGAGCGCGAGCGGTCTTCTGGTTGAAGGAATTGGGATGGAAAACGCCTGGCTACGGCGGGAATGGGCCAAGGTAAAGTCGGTCTTAAGATGCATTGTTGTCGCATTGGAAGGCAACCAATGAACAAACAAACAACACAATACTTAACATGAACTGACAAGCCCCACGAGTTGAGTTGCTTGCTTGCTGGATCTTGGAAACTCGAACCACCCCGACCTCCGGCCCTAAAAGTCAATGGAAACAGAGAGGCAGAAAAGCAGAAAAACAGAAACTGAAGCACAAAACTCTCTGACATTTCTGCGGCTTCAATGACACAATGATACCACTATGGTTAAGGGAAATGGGCGGCGGCTAGGCAGGCATTCAAGACAGACGACTAAGACGACGACAACGACGACGACGACAACGACGACGACGAGGCTTTTGAATTTATGAGCGTATTTAATTAACCAAGAAGGACGACAGAGAGGTGGATGTGGAGTTTCCCCTCCCCCCACAAAACAGCTTACGTAAAGCAAAAATAACCTAAACTTAAGTCTAAGAATCAGCTCAAGCGGCAGCTGTTTGGCTGTGATTGATTGATTGAGGCATAGCCTGAGTGGCAGCTGAAGTGCGGCATATTTAATTTGGCATGGGGAAGTGGCGGCAGTTCCCTTTCCCTCTCCATCATTTTTTGGCCACTGTCAAAGTCAAAGTCAATGCCCATGATGATGCTGAAATGGCCATTCAAAATGTGGCTGATTTATTATGTGTTAAGACAACAGATTTACTTGGATTGCTGTGTTGGGTGTTTTAAGTAAGAGATGAGTGTATGCAAGCCATCCATCTATCCATCCATCCATCCATCCATCCATCGACCTGCTAGACAGACATCTTCAGGATCCAGGATGCGTCGCCAGGCTACTGGCAGGCAGATTGAGTGAAAAAGAAAGAAAAGAAAGGAAAACGCTTGATGGGAAGGAGGAGAAGAAAGAGGAGGAGCAACTGTCGACAGAAGGATTTGGCAATTGATGCCACAGTGGTGACGTGGTGGAGAAGGAGAAGGGCCAGTAGGCAGTAACCTCTGAATAAATACGTAAGGAAGTGGACAATCAAAGAAGCTGGAGATTCTCACCCCCCCCCAAAAAAAAATATAACAGGAAAATAAGCAAAAGCGACTGAAGGTGAAGAGCTCTAAGCCCAAATTAAATAAATTATTGCCTCTCTCCGACTTTGAATTCAGCTCTCCAACTTCCTCTACTTATGCGGAATATACATATATATATATATATATCATTGGCGCCACTGTTCCCGGCAGATTTCCCCATATTATTGTCTTATTTAAGTTGCATTAGTGTCTTTATTTATGGCCACTCGATGCGATGCGATGCCTTTTCCTCCACTTACTTGGTACTCCTAGTACTGGTAGTGTGAATACGTTTTCCTGGCCTGGCCCAAAAAACTTTTTGGCCAAACACATATATCTACATAGATACATACTTACGTACAACACCACACGGTATGTTATAAATATTTTTTTGGCAGGCGTCGCGCTGCATAAACCATTACTAACTGCCTGCTCTCCTTGCCGAGGGTCGTGGCTCCAATCCCAAGCCCAAGCCCATGCCCCAGCCCATACCCACACACTCAATCCCATTTGTGGGAGTGGTTATCCAGCCTTCGTGGTTATCTTGCTGTTTTGGGTGCGTGGAGACAAAAGATGGGCGGGTCACGTGTTTCGTGACCCGACATGATGGTCATGTTGCAAATTAACGAGAAACCAGGCTAATTTCGGCAAGCCGTGATTTATATACGCTGAAAAGTTTGTAAATGTATTATAAAACGATTTAATAATTATATGTAAATATTATTAAAAATAGAGAAGCTAGAGGTTGTAAAATAGTAGCTATAAGATTTTTCATCATAATATTTATTAGTTTTTAATTTCAAAAGTTTAGTATAGTTGAAAAGCATTTATATTTAAGCCTTTTTATCACAATGTTTAACCCTAAATACCACATATAGTAAATTAAGTTACCAAGAATATGTATACCCCTAGATTGAAACATATATCTGACCCATGGTCATGTGCAAATTTGAATTTAAAGTGCATTTCGCTGTTCGCGTTGTTGGCGCTGAAAATCGATATTTAATGTTTACTGTTTGCTAGCTGTTGCCTTTTGTTTCTGATTCCGTTGAGTGGACTTACATTAATTTAATTTCGTAATTAAATTTCTCGCCGTGGGAGAAGTGTCGCAAATCAAACAATTAGCCACACAATATGTGCGTAGTACTCGGTTTCAGATTCATTTTCACGAACTTAATATGCTCTTTAAAATGCTTCGTTGGGAGATGGTGCTAAAAAAAGTGCTTAATGATTAGTTTAGTTGGCAGATTGACTGATAAATTTCTGTTTTTTTGATGGAACTTAAATCTAATCTAAATTCATATATTTACATTTTACCTTTTCCCGACAAAACATATTTATTAATCATTTGATTTCTCTTTTATTTTCAGGTGAGAACTCACTACTCCCCCTGATTATATTGGTTGATATTCATTGATCTGGAAAATATACAAGGTATTTAAATTTTAAACAGCATTTAGTAGAAAATAGAGCTTAATGCAGCTATTAACACTCTATTAAGTTAATATAAAAGAAAAAGCGGATTGAACTTTTGAATAATTCTAAAAAATATTCACATTTCCATTTAATTTGTAGAGAAAAAAAACGACCCACACATGTCGGTGTGAATTCTCTTTTTAATTCGTATTTACAAAAGTAAATAAAAAATCGTATTAAATGCATATTAAACGCATTAAATAAAACATTGACAAATGGAAGTCGACCCAAAAGCACCTTTGTATTTATGTCCAATTTACAATTTGCATTGTTTATGATGGATAATGCCCATTCCCCTTGCTAGCACCATAAACACCCACGCATCAGATATATATAGGAAGAGTAAAGTTTAAAAGGTTTAACTGGTATAAATAAGCAGTATGTACGTTAACAGCATTTAATAACATTGATTTATTTGTGGCAATTGCTCCGCCATGAAATGATAACGACAGCCATAACTGCATAAACAGCATTGAAGCCAAAACTTTGTTGACATATCGATGAAATATTGTAATGATTATAGATAAATCTTATTGGAAAGATATATACATATATTATATATGTACATGCCAACGAGTTGTGGTGGCCATAAGTACATATTTTGTGGAATAAAAAAATGAATATTCCAAACAAACCAATTTACCCTTCAAATAAATATATTTCCATTGATTTATTAAGAGGAATTTTAAAAGGACGAAAAGTGTATTAAAAAGACATTTTTTTGTTATCTTAAATTTAAGAAATTATTTCACCATTATTTTTCAAGATTTATGCCTTAATGATTTTTTTTAACATGTTTGACTATAAATTGTTTTTTAACTTGAGTTATAACATTCTTTTTGATCTATTTTAATTTAAATTTAGTCAAAAATATAATTAATTAATATGGTATTATTTGAAACCATATTTCTTATGATGATTTATAGACAAAGTGATTTAGCTGTTCCATTAATTATATCTTAAAATTCTAGCTATAAATTCTCTTTAATCTTAAGATCCAATAATTTTTTTTTGTTAAAATATCAAAGAAATTCCTATTGAAAATCAGTTTATGAGATCTTTTGTAGACAAAAGCTTTGATTTATGATCTTCTTAAAACAGGTTGCTCCACCCAAAAAACAAATGCGAAATGTTGGTAGTTACTTTGAAAAGTTCGTATGCGTATTTATCAAGTTTATGGCGTTTAGACAAAGGTTGCTGTTGTGGTTAAAAGTGCCTGGCTTGTTGTTTGTTGGGCGCTTTCAAACTTCATCTTTGCACTTGAAGCGGCTTTTAGTGGTGGTGGCGGCTTCTTTCCCCCTTACCATACCCATTTTACTTTCCTCCTTTTTTGGGAGCTTTAATTAAATACATTTAACAATGTATATTCATTAATTTCAAGAGTTTTTTCCTCTTAGTTTGGGTTTACTTATTGTCTGGCAACTTTTCCCATACCCCATGCGTTACTTCACCGCTTTCCTTATATTCATTTTACCCAGTTACCATTTACCATTTATATTACCTTCAACGTGGTAGTGGTTGTAGGAGCTGTACTAAGCTAGCTCCGCACATAATTTCCCTCCACTGCCAAATGCTTACATCTGCACTAATTTGCACACTACACCCACCCATTCAGCCGCTTTCAACAACACGCGTTGTGTTTTTAATTAATATTTTCTACGTTGCATTATCCGTTGCATTTGCGGCATGCAAAATTACAATTTATGACCAGTCCAACAGTCCCTGAGAAGTTCAACAATTTAATGCGAATGACAAATGATCAGCGGGCAAAAATGTGGGCCAAAAGCCCTTTATGACCATTCAAGGAATGAGCTACTTTTTTCAAGCGATGATTAAAATTACACGGTTATGGAACTATTTTTAATTTAAAATGTAAACTATTTTTTATAATTTTTGTTGTTTAGAAAATCCTTTTGAATGTAAACTTGGGAATGGAGTTTTTTTTTTTTTTAATTCTGAAAACTTATTCTTGGATCTTTTTTATTAGCTTTATGAACAATAATAAAAAATATTTTTGTACGCAAGTGTACAATGGAAATTATGTAAAATATGTTAAAAGGGAAAAGTAAGCTTTTTCAGCCCATTAAAAATGTAAATGAAAGCATATTACTGTGATTTACTCATGTAAAAAGGAAAGTAATATTTAAATATTAAGACCCAAGAGGCAAAATGAACATTTTAACAGATTATTTTTATAAATATACTGGGGTAGAATTCATACTTATACGGTCCACTGTACATATAGCATAGGATGTACTAACGAGACCCACTGTACAAGAAAACAGAAGAGATTAGCCCAAGTTAACTGTAAACTTTATTTTGTTTTCTCTTTCTACCATATGCATTAGCAAGATCGAAGCATTGTACTTATACATTCATTTGTTGACGAATGAGCGAAAACAAGGAGAAAGAGGAATTCCAATATTCGGTGTTTACCGTTTAGCGAGAGAGGAGCTGGAGATGTTATGAAAGCATTAGCGTATTGAGCCTGCTAAATACCCTACTTTAAAATTATACTTGCAAAATCCAAAAGTCAGACCTTCTTGCTTAAAAACTGAGTTTAAAACATACATACATATCTCCATACTGCATCAAAAATCCCTAACCAAATCATAATCCAAGTCATGTCCGAATTCTTAAATTTCTGGAATGTTATGTTTGTTGATTCTGTTTTTTTTTGTTTTATGATTTTTTTTTGTCGCCTGTGAGAAGTGTGTTTCCAGCTGTCGAATGGGTCCCCAAACTAGCCTGGACCTCTCAAAGGCAGGCGGCTGGTCTCGCCATCACGAAATGCTCTACATTTTTGGTTATAGCCAAACAGGGAGCGTAAAATATGACCGGTAATGAGAATGGGGTGTTGCTGTCCTGGAGTAAAAGGGAGCAGCAAAGGAGCACAGGGAGCAGCACAGGAGTTCAAGAGAGGAGAGTGTTCAGAGCAAATCCTTCGACTTCGACTGTCACGTTTGCAACAAATGGCGCATGGCACGCAAAGGGCTAATGTAATTCGTGTATTTTACTTGATTTCATGTTACGTGCACAATCGGCCAAATTGCAAGGCATATCGAACCAAGGCTAAGTTGCCCTGAGTTGAGAGGAGGAGGCTTCAGGCCCAAAAAGTACTAAAAACCCAAAAACCAAAAAGCAACAATTTTTATTTTTTGTGGTGACACTATTGCCATGGCCAAGGATTGCAATTGGAAAGTGGTAACTTCTTTTCAGAAAGTGGCAACAGGAACAGGAAGCAGGAACAAGGAAAGTGGCAAATGCAAGTGGCAAGCACCTGAAGTTCCCCCTGCCCCCTACCCATTTTGAAGAGGAGCACCGCGCGACGCATTTATTAGCATTTTTATGTGAATTTTTGGAACATTTCTGACACGCAGGCGAGGGAAGGCAAGGCGAGGCGAGGATTTTAATTAAGTTTGAGAATAGAGAGGTGAGTGGGATGAGCAGCTCTGCGTTCTTGACTAGAATTGGGATTGGGCTTTGGGGAGTTGAAGAAGAGTTTCGGGGGATTTGCTGGGGGATTGCCCGGAAAAACTTGTATAATTTTACTCGACTCACTCTTTGTGGCCGGCTGTGTTCTGTACTACTACTATCTCATCCTCATCGCCGCCGGTCTCCTTGAGTTGTTGAGAAAAGTTGCATTCAAAATTGCAATTTTATATGCGCAACGCTTGCCACCAACTTTGGAAACAATTTGTGACAGCCTTGAGGGATAATCGAGTGGCCCAGATTGAGAATGAAATCAATTTGATTGTCAAAGATACTCAGCTGTCAGCTGCCCACTTGATTAAGTAAATTTCTATCCTAATTGATTATCAATTTAAAAGATAAAACAGAATATATAAAAATCATGAGTGTATATGATTTTTCCAATTTAAAATTGCAATTTATTTCACAAGTCTTTATTTAATTTATTTCATTTGTATTGTCAAATCAAACCCTGCACCTAGAAAAGTGCTGTATTCAATAACAGAAATATTAACAAGGACGCCAATTAATAAAGTTGATATTATGTTTAACCTTTATTTAATTAATTTATTAATCAATTATCGAAGAAACTTAGTCCAAGTTACAGCTGAAACACGTATCAAAATGTTTAACGTTTATTTAATTAATTTATTAATCAATCATTAAAGAAACTTTGCCCAATTTTCATATGAATACCCATATCATATATCAGGGGCTCAATTTAATCAAGGCTCTAGTCAGTCTCTAGTCTAAATTAAAATATTTGCGCTGAAATAACTTTTGTCCAATTAACACATGTTTTGCCAAAACAGCAATAAGAGCAAAGAACATAATTGTTTTTTATACATTTAATGGTTGCTTGGCTAAAAAATTAATTTTATTTTGATGGGGTTGGTGCGTAAGGAGAGGGGCCGGCGGCTGTTGCTGAGGAATTTTGAAATTAAGCAATGCCAGTGTAACCAGAAACAGCCAAACACCCAAACCCCATTCCCCTCTTGCGTTTTCCCATTTCCGTCTCTAATTGTTTTTTAAATACGTCTCAAATGCTCTCTATTTCAAGTCGCAGCTATAGAACAAAGCGCAGCGCCAGCAAACAACAAACAACAGCAACAACAAAATGCAAAGCACAACTTCAGCTGACGAAAGAGCCGCCGCCGAATCATTGAAAGAGCGACAAGTCTATGCTTCTCGCTTTTGCTTCTTGCCTATACTTTTTGTTTTTTGAATTTTGCTTCTTGCTCTTTGCTTTGCTTTTCTTGCCTTTTGCCTCGAAAATGGGGCGTGACAGAAATGAGCACACAAGTGTCATAATCACACACACAGCTACACATGCATTTGCTTACTTGAGCTAGAGATTTACCTTCAAGTGAGCAGCTTTTTAACACTTTTACTTTCGCAAAATACTCAGCAGCAGCAGCGGCGAAGGCAGAGGCGCAGGCAGTGGCAGCGACATCGTCGGCATCTCATTTAATTCGACGCCCCAATCT